AAAAAAAAAAAAAAGGAGAAACAAATATTTCAGTCCATCATAATAAACCCCACACATTCCCCACTTTCACAAAATGATCCCGATGGTTTTTCACCAAAATATAAAAATAAAAAAGAACTGACAAACTAAACTGTACTGAGAGGCCCTTTTAACTCGTCTCCCGCCTGAGGCAGTCCGGCTTCGATTGGGTGGACCCTCAAAAACCTACCGTTTGGATACTGCAAAATAAAAAGAAAAAAGAAAACTCAACAAACATGTATTCTCCGTATTAAAATTCCCTAGCGTAATCTGGATCATTATTATAGCCCCACTTGAAGGGTGCAAAGAACTGGTATGGACATTGCGAGGACGACTGTCAATAATTTCAGTTTTTATTCCGAGGCCAGGAACCCAACAGCAAAAGAAGAAGCAAAAGTAAAGGTCCTGAAAGGGAATTCACACATTCCACCAGGGGTTCAGTAATCTCTGGTAATCCAAAAATGGTCTTCAGCTCTCTCAAAACAAGAATACGAAGGTCACGTAGTGAAAGGGAACTCACACGTTCCACCAGGGATACACAAAACTCCTTTAGTAAACCAAAAGTGCCCTTCGGCAGTCGCCAAAGAAATCCGACAATTTCACACCTCCAGTAAATACACATGCCGCCCCCTAGCAATATCAATGCCACTGCACCAACCACTTTAGGATTTTCCTTCACAAATTCCCAAAATGCAGCAAAAAAAGAAGAAATACCACCGTTATTACCCGACGAACCGCCTGAACCAGTATTCCCATTAGCGCCTGCAAGAGCACGCTCTGCTGTATCAACCACTGCCCCAAGATCGGTATTACCAACAAATTCAGCAACAATTTCATTGGCTTCTCGTCGTTTATCATCGGGCCATGAAGCAATCCTACTTTCAAACTTTTTATACAATTGTCTTAAATCCACCACACACCTACAGTAATCCCTATCCCTATACATTTCTGGAATGTGATTCATCTGCATCACAATAGCGGCCACCTCTCTCCCATATTCCTCACACTGCTTTTTCTCCCTCTCAGTCAATAAAGACTCTTCCGAACCACTCTCCGAACACAACGAGGACATTCTTGTCAATAATACAACTGAGGATCACTGAAGTCTGTGTATAGAGAGACAGAGAGAGAGAAAGTGAGAGACACTTTCAATAAATCCCATAAAGAAGAATAGTCTCAGCATTATTTTCACCTCATAAGAGGAGCAAAAAAAAAAAAAAAGGAGAAACAAATATTTCAGTCCATCATAATAAACCCTACACATTCCCCACTTTCACAAAAAGATCCCGATGGTTTTTCACCAAAATATAAAAATAAAAAAGAACTGACAAACTAAACTGTACTGAGAGGCCCTTTTAACTCGTCTCCCGCCTGAGGCAGTCCAGCTTCGGTTGGGTGGACCCTCAAAAACCTACCGTTTGGATACTGCAAAATAAAAAAGAAAAAAAAACTCAACAAACATGTATTCTCCGTATTAAACTTGTTTACCGTAATAAATGCAAGACTTAAACGTTCTTGTAGAAAAATGAAAAGAAAAAAGAAAACCCAACAAACATGTATTCTCCGTATTAAACTTGTTTACCGTAATAAATGCAAGACTTAAACGTTCTTGTAGAAAAATGAAAAGAAAAAGAAAACTCAACAAACATGTATTCTCCGTATTAAAATTCCCTAGCGTAATAAATGCAAGACTTAACCGATCCTTTTGCAAGATGTTATTATTGATGAGAAAGAAACCCAAAAATATGTTTTAGTTGTACGTTTTGCTTTGGCATTACTCCGCTGATAATGGTTTGTGGGACCATTTAAAAATTGCGATCGGAAGAAAAACACGGTGTTGAGTGGGCGTCTCCAGTCGTAAACATCTAACTTGCGTTGATACACTATCTGCCCTGACCCCTGGAGTTTACTGTTTCCGGGGCTGAATGCCCTTTTTTGTTTTTTTTTTTTTGGCTTTCAAGATTCCCTATACACATAGTTACTCGACACGCAGAGCTATAATGGCCTATGCGGCCACAACCGAAACAGCGTGCCTTGCTGGGAGGAGGTGGTGCTGGTGCTGAATGTTTCTTCTGTCATTTCAAGGCGGCCTGTATGAAAAAATTATCCCGTTTTTTTTTTTTTTTTTGAAGCTCAACGATAACCTCCCGAATGTCCTGCATCTTCGCGCTCCCGGGAAATCCTTAACTGTTCGTATTATCCGCATTCTGCTTATAAAGCTATCATCCCATTTGAACCTCTTGTGCCGACATTCCTTCATTACGACAAGTGTGTGTGTCCATTGCAGAAAAAAATATTCCATGCGTCGTTATACTCTGGGGTCAGGATTTTCTGGTATGGGAAAAACTTTTCCCGGTATGCAGTCGGTCATCAATGGGCTGGGTGATGTCTCCATCAAATAATCTATCATTCCTTCAAAAGGAGCGGATTCACTCTTCTGGTTTGATGCCTTCGTCCCTTGCTGGCAGTTGGAGTTCCTCTACTCCACGAAATCCTAATTTTAGGTCGTTCCTCGTACGTAATTGGTACTAATGAGGTAATAGTTACTTTTTTCTCTTTTAATGCCGCCCATTCGAAACTGAACTCTGCGTGCGCGTGTTTACTCAAAAAGCAGATAGAAATTCTGTATTCCACGGCATAGTAAAGCTAATCATGGAAGAAACGCAAGACCTCTCAATTCATGAATATATATATTTTTTTTGGCTCCATTTTTTACCATAAGAACACGTCGAAAACGACGTGTAATCTAATCATACACGTGATAACTTAAATCCAGGGTTTTCAGCTGGACGAAATGTTAACGCAAATGCCGTAGGGCCACCCCATGGTAGATAAAAACCATAAATACCTGCGTGCTGGTTATCTACTTTGTTGTTAAACCGGATGGGTCGTACTTACCATTTTCACTTCTATATAAACTTACCATTTGTAGACTGTAACGAAAAGAGAATAAATTTACGAAACACACACACACAGACGGACAAAGAGAGATACATAGCCACAGAGACATCTGTCACATTCTCAATAAAAGTCCAAAGGAAAAAATAAAAATAAAAAAAATGTAAAAGAAAAAAAAAATGGATATTGATGGGGAAACCACCACTATCACCACTACAGTAGTAACAATAGTATTCCTAATGGTATAAAGAGGAGCAATAATTGTTATGATAAACGCAATGGGATCACACGGTAAATTGTTTGCATACACTTCAAACTCAGTATAATAGAAATAATAGGAAATAAAATAATAATAAAAAAAAAAAATAATAATAAGCAACTATGTTCTCACTATTGAACACTTTCTGGAGTATAGTCTCCAAATTGCTCACAGAGAATTTTTAGAGCCTCCCTACAGGATGCACGACAAGAAGGTTCAAAATGCATCAAAGAAAGCAAAAGAACAATACTTTCTCGACTAATAACTGCACTAAGTATATCCCAATCGGGACATTGAAGAGAATTATCATGATCATGCAAAGAAGAAGCAAGAAGTCTATAGAAAATTCCCCCTATAGCAAAAACATCCCATTTCTTTACATCAACTGCACGAATAGTGAGCGATGGCACAATGGATTGTGAGCACAATGCTGCACTAAGCTCCGGAGCAGCATATGTAGCAGATGCTCGCGGTGTAGCAACAATAAGAAAGTCATCATCATTATCTTCTTCAGTATTTTCATTATTATTATTATTATTATTATTGATATCATTATTATTGATATTATTATTGATATTAATATTAGTATTATCACCATCAGTAGCAGCTGCAGCAGGATAAAGAGGAGGAGAAAGAGTAGTAATACTATTATTATCATCATCATTGTCAGAAAAAATGAGGGTATTATTGTCATTACCATTACTACATTTTTTCCTCATTAAAGCTAAAGTTGCCTCAGTAGGGTTAGGTTGCCGCTTTGGAGACATACTAAATGGGATAGTCGCATCACCTTCTGTGAATTCTAATACAGTACCAGAGACACTCGTTATATTGTTAACCGTAGAACCACAGTAGCGCTGAGTTTCAAAAGTTGAATGAGAGAAACCTTGTGATCGTGTTGCGGCTTCTTGTAGTTGTGCTTCCCGATCTCGCGCAAGTTTAGCATAAAATCCAGCTTTACGTAATAATCCAAAATCTTGTGGAAGAGAAAGTGGTGGTGGTTTTGAGAATTGTTTAACGTGAAGCAATGCTGTCATACTAGGAGCCTCACGATCTTCATTTCCAAACCCTACTGAATTTGGTACAAGACAGGATGAAGCTTCTGTTTGTTTCTGTAATTGTTGTTGTCTCTGTATTTCCTGTAAATATGATGAATGCGGAGATGGTTTTAAGAAGCGTGCATAATGAAAGTGTAATACATGAACATCTTCAAAGTTATCACGTGCAACAAAAACGGCATCAAGTGAAAGTTCACGATGCACAACATGAAGTTCATCATGTAAGCATCGCACAGCTTCTAATAAACGTGCGATAATTAAACGAGATTTTGTTTCTGTTAGTTTACCACATTGTATAATAGATGAAAGAGATTGATACTTTTCAGATGGAAGGAGATCCATTACTAATACAATAAAATCACGTGTTTGAAATGCACCGTGAAATGTTACAAAAAATTCAGAATACGCAGATGCTGCTCGACGAATATCAATACATTGTTGTAATCTTTGCCAAAGTCGTCGTGAGAGCATCTGAGATTTTGGTATTAACTTTAATGCATGTATAGCCCCTGTAAGACGATCCACACCACGTAGTATAATACTTCTTCTACTAGCATATAAAATATCATGAGGATCCTTCCAAATATATTTTTCCTCTATATTTTTAACGTATTCATATGGAAGAAGTAAAACACTATGAAACCGGGTACAAACCCGAAGAAGACGATCTTGATTTTTGTATGTAAGAAATAACATAATATAGCGTAGAATTTCATCATTTAATGAGAGAAGAGGACTTCCACATGAAAAACAACACCGTGGAGCTCGTGATGATAAATATGCCAGACGCAAAATAGGCCAACTTGTGCCACATGGACTTAATGGCACAGACTTAGAACAGTGTACACATAAATAATGTCGACAACGAACACAAGGTGTAATAGGTTCAAGAAGTGTACCGGATCGAAGACATTTTGAGCATTTATTAGGCTCATAATACCAAAAAGAATTTATATTACCCATTCTTGTCGTATAAATGGTTTGTGAGGGAAAAGGTTCAGAGAAGTATCTCTCACTTTCTTTCTTTCTTTTCTTTTCTTCTTTTTTTTTCTTTTTTTTTTCGTTTCTATTATTGGACTCTTGTTGTTGTTTCTAACGACGTACCCCTTTTGAAACAAATAATAAAAACCAGAAGAACAAAAAAAGAAAAGAAAAGAATAAATAAATAAATAAACACACAAAGGAGACGAAAGACATTCATACGATCATCAGTCCTTCTTATCTTTCTGTTAAGTCTCTGCATGTGTACACATGTGTGTATATGTGTGAGTATCAAAATAAACAAAAAAAAAAAGAAATTTACATGGAGCAACTGTACCAAGACACACTCACTGAAGGTAGAGGGGGAGGGAGAGGAGAGAAGAAAAATAAAGAAAATAATTTTTTTTTTAAAAAACAAAAAAAAAAAAATGAAACAAGTTTTTCTTTTCTTTTACTTTTTCTCTTCTTCACATTTCCATAGGATACACACTTCTTATGACGTAATTTACATTTTTTTTTCTTTCTTTCATTCCTTGTTCATTCCTTTTACATCACGCTTAGTACACCTGCTCTTCCAGTCGAAACGGTGGATACACTTGACTGCGTTGAATCAGCCGCTCCTTCTCTCGGAGTTGTCGAAGTTCAGATGTGATACGACGTGCCTTATAAGAACGGTAAGCACATTGAATCACTATGGCAGCCTTATTAATATGACGCCGTTTTATCTCCAATACTTCTTGTTTACGTTGTGCCAAGTGTTTTTGTAGTAAATCCTTTGTGGTTCGACGAGTCATATATCCACGAAAGGCAGTTTGGATTCTTGTAGCGCATGCATTTAATACCTCTGCACGATAACAATTTCGACCATAACATCTTTTTGCATAAACTGCAGCTCCATAGGTACGTCGTACTAAATAACCACGAAAAGTTTTTTGAATAACTGTAGCATAGTACTCTCTGGAGTACTTATAGTGATGGAGAATAAACTCTTTTCTATGTCCTCTTTCATATAATTTACGAAGAAGGAATGCATGACGTCGATAAGCTCGTTGAATTTGTGTTGCTGCGAATTCGTTTTTTTCTTTTTCTTTTTCTGCTTTTAACCTATCTTGTTCTTCTTTTTGAAGTTTAAGATAACGTTGACGTGCAATACGTGCATGATAAATACTTTGTATTTTCATAGCCCCCATATCTTTTCGTCGACGTTCATCTCGAAGTTTTTCTAATTCTCTCTTCGCTAACCAACGTCGGACATACTTTTGCATAGTGATCGCTACCTTTTCCTCAACATATCGTACTGCAATACTTTTTGGTATTGAACCTTTTTTCCAACGTTTGCTCTCAAGTACCTTTCGAAAGAAACGTACTATACGTCTAGCACTAGCATCTTCTAATGCTATTTGTTTTTCCCTTTTTTCTTTCATATTTATCTTTAGTTTTAGAATATCCTGAGCTAAACCATATCTCATTAAGGCATTCTTTACCACTGTAGTTGCTTCCCATCTTTCTTCAAAGGCATTTTCAGCTCTAAGTAAAATAGTCAATCGGTTAGTTAAAAGTTTTTTAAGTCCTGCAACAGTTCGTTGAGCATTTTCAATTACCTTCTCTGGAATAGGTGGTGGTGGCATAACACTTTTAACAGCATCAACTACTATGGCTGGTGGCATAGCAATTGTTTTGGGTTTAGCATATGGTATAACTAACATACTATCACGTCGTGGTGCAAATAAAGACCATATAGTTCTTCGCATAGGAGCAACTTTCTCTCTCTCTGCTTCATCTGCCAATTGAAGTGGTGTTTCCTCACACAGCATAATCATAGTAACACTACACGTAATAGCACTTTCCATAAAAGAAAAAGGTGATTCAAAGACTCGTTCTTCTCCAAATATAATATCCCTTACCTCCGTTGTACGTAGAAATGGAACCACCACATCTGTCGAACCACCTTTACGAATTCGTTGACGTAGTTCTGCATTAATAGGAGGAAGTTCTACCGCCTCTTCTGGAATAGTGGTAGAGGGTGAGAGACGTCGTCTGGATCGCCGCATTCCACTCTTCACTCTAGATCCCGGACGTCGCTGCGCAGATGACATTGCTGATGTATTAGTATTCGTATTGATACTACTATTTGGAGCAAGATTCCGCAGACTTCGTACCCGTCGCATATTTAAACTTCCTCTTCCCATTCCATTACCATTCGCATGTTCCGCCTCTGCTTCTGCTTCTGCTTCTTCTTCTCGTCGTTTTAAAAATGCCTCTTCTCGTCGTTGATGCAGTAATGCTTGTAGTCGTCGACGACAGTTTGCCGCTACTGCTGCCCATTGTTGGTGTGGACCCTCTGCGAGGTGTGTCTCGGCGGCGGTGTAGTGTACGGCGGCCGTTGTTGTTGCAATGTACTCCGCTGCAATTCCTGCGTTATGTTCGGCGAGGGCGGCGAGTAGTGGGCGGGTGTCGGCGTACATAGCGGCAGGGAGTAATTGCCGATCCACATCACTTTTCTCTTTCTTACTCTCGTCCTCATCACTATTACCGACTATTTGCAAAACTGCCATGGCGGTATCGCTGGCTTCAGGAAAACAACAATTGTGGATGTGTAGTGTACACAAGTTGAGGAGAATCATACAGGTGAGTTCCTCCGCCATGGCAGTATCAAGGGCAGTGTGAAAGACCGCCATAGCACGTCCAATCTCACCTGATCGTAGTAATAAACATCCCCAGTTATTTAACGTCAAACAAACTAATAGTAAGAGACCTCTATCCATGTTGGCTGAAATAGGCATCTTTTTATCATGAGTATAGGTCTCAAAGTTTCCGTCTAAATAACTACGCCTCTTCAACTGTTCAAGACATATGCGTAAGAAATCTATTGCTAGTTCCACGTTCGTTTCAACACTCTTCACAGAGAAGACATTGCAACACAAGACAAAATCCCTGAATAAGGCATCTGGTGGTACTAAATGAAAAACCTGTGAAGGTGAAAGCTTTATAATAGTCTCATCTCCTATCTCAGAGAGAACTCGTTCATATGCTTTAATGGCTAAAAGGTGCTTCGAAGCTGCAGAATAATTTATCGCCATCTGTAGATGACCACCATCGTTCTCAGCGTTGCAATCACCACGAATTGCAGTCATTCTTTTTTTTTTTTTCTTTCTTCCTTTTCTCTCCTTCTCTTTGTGTGTGTGTGTGTGTGTGTGGCTCCCCTTACTTTATCCACCTCCTCCCAGATGCTAAAAAAAAAAAAGAAAAAAAAAAAACAAGAGAAGAAAAAAAATGACAAACCAGCCATGTCAATAGAAATAAAATAAAGATGTACATAAGAATTATTTCTTTTATTATTATTACTATTATTACTATTTTTATACTTTTTTTTAACGTTTTTTTTTTCTTTTTTGTAATGTTTATTTCTTTTCTCGGGACTTCTTTTTTTTTTCTTGCTTTATTCTTCTCATTTCCAGTAGCATTAAAAAAAAAATAAAAAAATTGCAGCCAATTATGAAATCAGAATAAAACACAAAGTAAAAAAAAAAAACAAGAAGAAACAGCATCACTTATTATACGAATAGTGTCAAGAATTTACAATTACTAATGTGAGTATTTTGGTGTGATAAGGAGACGACGATCTTTTCCACTCTTCCCTTGTTTTTCATTATCTTTGGTATCTTTAGAAGATTTACTATTAACAAACATAAAATAACTTTTCTTGTTTGGTTCAACCACTCCACAATCATCAGGAGCATGTTCTTTATGAAGTTCCACTGCACACCACTTAAGAAACAGAACAACATCAGATATATCATCTGTCTGTAAGGTCCAAGTATCATTTATTTCAAGGTATCTATCAAGATCTGTAGAAGCACCTACAGGAGTACGATAACAGACAACAATTTTCATCGCCCTACCAAAAAATAAAATATCATCTACAACCAATTCACCAAACCGCATTCCAATAACATGAAATGCAATTTTTCTTGTACCTAATCGAGCGATTTCACGATAAAGCATTCGTGCACTATGCCAAGAATCAACCTTGAAAAGAACACCAATCTGAAGACAACTTTTAATAAGATCTTCATATGCTTCTTGCGTTTGTGGACGAGACTGAGGTTGTAATTGCATCCAAGTAGCTTCTAATGTAATTTTAAGATCTTCATTCATCATAACCTTATTTTCAATACTTTTACTTTCAAGCATAAGATAATTTTGTTCATCTTGTTCTTCTGAATTTTTTTCACTTAAATATTCTGCAATACTCTTTACTGAAGAATTAGAAGTACATGTCAAAATTTTATCATTAGAAGAGTTTAATTCTGATTCAGGTAAAGATGAAACTTCTGGAGGTCCATAAAGAAGTTGATATTCTAAACAAACCGTATTTTTAAGTTGACCATAATCACCCAAATGAGCAAAAGAAATATTCATCCCTCTTGGACGAAGAAGATGTAATTTATCTGTAAAACACTCTACATACCATTGAAGTAATCGTCTGTATTCAAAAATATGATCTCTTTCCTTCATAGAAGGAAATGAAAGTAAATGAATTCCTACACCAGGACATCCAGTAGTACTATGGAGATCTATTATAGTAACTGCCATACCAGGAGTTGCCTGATTTACAGGATTACCAAGAGCATCTATCATAAAATCTACTTGTCCTTTAGTTTGATCCGCAATAAAGGGAACTCCCTTTGTAATACAACCCTCTTTAACTATAACAGTTAAAACCAAACAATTTGTACTAGTTGGATTTGTACTCTTAACTTTATTTTGAGCAGCATTTAGTGAAGAATTTATTCTTACAGATATACTTTTTCTTGAAAACTGAGATTGACGTTTTTCTTCATTTATATCTTGCATTTTTTGAAACTTTTGGCGACTTTTATTAACTCTAAAACCTTCTTCATCAAAAAGATGTTTTGAAGATTCCAATATAACTGCCTGAAGTGAACAAGAATGTGATCGGTAGTCTGATGATTTACTGTAACAAAGAGGTGGATAGGTTGAACACATTAATTCAATAATTGACCAAAGAAGACTTAAATTTTTTCGTTCTTTCGCTGATATACATACTCCAACACAACGACGTTGTAATTCAACAAGTGGATATTTTCTACTACCCTTATAATTTGAATCTATTTTTTTCATAGGTGCAAATAACTGGAAACTATTATCATTTACTTTAGATACTTTATCATGTTCATTTATATTTGTTTGAGTCGATCGTAAACGTTCAAGATCTTTTTTATTATGAATCATAGAAATATTTAAACCAGCTTCTCGAAGATTCACCAAAACTTTAGAAACTGCTTCACTTGCTTTCTGTGCATTTGAAAATAAATCTACTTTATTTAAAACCACCACTACTGGTCTATCAACATTTAATGCCACTTTTACCGCCTCATATGTTTGACTTTGAACACCTTCCATTACAGAAACTACTATTAATAAAAAATCTGCTATAATTTGTGCATGAAATCGAGTTTCTGCAAAAATACGTTGTCCAGGTGTATCTACAAAAGTAACATTTAAAGAATTTTTTTCTGAAGAAAATAAAGTAAATGCTCTTACGGACTGAGTTATTCCTCTTGATTCTTCTTCTCTAAAATTTGTTTCCTGTAACGCATCTAGTAGTGTTGTTTTTCCATGTTGAGTATGTCCCACAAGTGCGATAATTGGGATACGTACATGTTGACGTGTAGAAAGACGTCTTAAATAATTAAGACCTGTAGAAACAAAAACATCCTTTTCTATCCATTGAATAAATTTATTCTCTCTTTTATTAGAAACACCAGAAGCAATAGAAGCCTCTTCCATTTTTAATTCTTCTACACATTTTTTTCTCACTTCCCTTGGGAGACCACTCATAATAATATTTGCCCCCAGTTGATAAGGTACAAGACATGTTACTAAACGTTCATCACTTAATTTATATTGTTCCCATATTACACGTTCTACATCTCTCTCCTTTAAATTTAAAAGACTATCCAAAGATTTTCTAATTTCTTCACGTTTCTGTGTATCAAAGAATTTTGAACGTTGTGCATGATTTGCAGATAGGGTTTCTACTTCCAAAAATTTGGCAAGTCTAGCGGTACGAGAACGAACAAAAGCTACAAAAGACTGTCCATCCATAACTGAGGGCAATGGATAAAATGCTTCATTAGCTTTTAATAGATATATGCGAGAACGCCACATATTACATTCCTTTGTCTATAGGAAAACAGTATAAAAAAAAAAAGAAGAGACACATATTTTTTTTTCTTCTTTGAAGTATTCACATACATAAAAAAGAAAAGAACACACAAAAAAAAATAAAAATAAAAACCGAAGGAGACTACAGTAATCAAATCAAGTTTGCCCATGAAGATACAAGAGAAGAAAAAAAAAAGAGAAGGCCTACATATCCCATTTAATAAAATCTCACCCCACCCCCCTTCTCTCTTTTTTTTCTTTACATTTCTTCCAACTATCTCCTACAAATTATTACTTTTTTTTTTTTTTCTTCTCCTAAGCTTTGAAGAAATAAGCGGTAGCAAAAAATGGTGTCAAGACTTTCCAAGAAATACTAAAAACGCCAGAATCGACCCATATCGTGTAGAGCATTTTTTCCCTTGACATGACATAACTAGGGTGTGTGTAGTATACAGTGGGTTCCTTTCCTCGAACAATCTTATCGGCAAGCGTAGCGCATGGTTTTTCTACCTTAAGGAGTGTATAATTACGGCTTTGCACACGACCAAGCACCGTAGCGCGTGTTCCCAGAGAACGAAGCATATAAATTACTCCTTGATCCTTAAACAATAAAAAAAAAAGAAGAAAGAAAATATATATATATATATATATGCAAAGATAGAAAATAAAGCAGTGCATACCTTTCAAATACTTCAAATATATATTTATTTTGTCCACATCTTCGTAGAGTACATTTATCACCTATTTTTTTTTTCGTCTGTTTCTTGCGAGAAACAAAAAGAAAAAAAGAAAAAAAAAAGCAGCAGTTTGAGGTATTTATGATGAAGTTTGAGGTCTAAAATCAAGAATAAACTGAGTTTCATTCTCTGGGTTAAGCGTTGCATGTATCCTAATAGATCCATGAGGGTACAATACTTGAGTGACACCTCTTAGTATACCTACAGTATATACTAGAATATCTTTGTGACTCGGTGAGTTTTCTATCCTTTCTCTCCGGGATGGTGAAGCCTCATCAGAAGCCACTGACCCCTCTGAATAACCAGGAGGGCAAACAACTAATGTTGAGACTACATATCCCGTTTTTAGCCTCGAAAAACCTTGTAACCATCGAAAGTTATTGTCAATAAGAGAAAAATAAACATTATCCATATGTTTCATTCGATCTATTTTCTTTCCAAAGGCGGATTTCCACAATTGTTGACCAACAAAACGAGCTACATCCAAGGGAGTTGAAACACCAAAAGTTGCTTCACGATATAAAAGACGCTCTGATAAACGTAGACCAATAAGTAAACCAATACCTTCAAGATCTTTTAGAGCATTTAACTCTATCTCATTTCTGGCCGCAAGAGATGAATTTTCTTCCATTTCATTACTTTGACGTCTGATAGCATATGATACCAGTTCAAAACTTAGCCCTGATACCACGCTTTCACTAACTAATGTATGGTGGGCCATATTATCCCTAGCCAGAATAAAACTCAAAAAAAAAATTTTAGGTGGAGCAAAGAGAAAAGAAAAAAGCAGAAGAGTGACAAAGAAGTAAATATACATCTATCTTCCATTTTATATAAACAAAGATCTGACAAAAAGGAAAAAAAAAAAGAGAGAAACACGGATAAATGGAAATATATATATATATATATATATATATATATATATATA